CCCACGATTTACGAAGTTAAAAACCGCGCTATTTTTTTTGGTCTCGAATGGATTGAAAAGGGCTGAAGCTTTTCTCGAACTCCGTGGGATATGTTCCCCACGGACTTTTTCCATTGTGAAGATGTGGGTTCTTGGGTAAGCTGATATCATTCCGAATATAAAAAAGAGGAGAAGCCAATGACAATGCTTTTTCTGAACAGCATAATAAGCACTGACTGTTACTGCACCATGCTTCTTTGACTCTGAGGATGTCAAACAGCGAGGGTCGTTCTTCATAAAGACGGTCAGATAGAGCCGACAGGTAGGCCAATGAAATGAAATATGGAACCCGGAGACAAGGAAGCTTCGTTCAGAGTCTTGAATTGCCGGTGCTCACAATGGTTGTTTGTATGGTACTCTGTATGTATCGAGTAATTTTGTGTATGTGGCGTCATGCTAGACACCTGGGTTGTTTTCAAGGTTATTATCAAGATAAAAAAAAACACTAGGAGGTAGCTTGAAGGCGTCTTAAGGTTGACACGGGAGCTGAACATGGATGGCAAAAACATATCGAGACTCACAGACGCGGATTGGAGGAAACTTGGCCAAGTGAAATGGAAGAGGAGAAAAAAAAAAAATCTCCGCGATGATCAGTCGATTATTCAAAGAATTGGACAAACAATAGCGAGGAGGTGTATTGGATTGATAAGGGTTTGGTCAGTGGATGGTTACATAGTCTGGTTGATTGTTTCCCGTACTATTTTACAAGGCGAAATTAAAAACGGCAGTAGTAAACTAATGCGAAACTGGTTGGGATGTCCTCCTTGTGCATTTGGCGGTCATTTTCTCCCTTGAGGAAGCATGCAACTAAAAATAACTTGCATATGCATGATGGCTATATGCTCAAATATTTTCCATCTGCGTTTGCTGGTCATTCGTCGGTGGTTATGGAAGGCTACCCATATTCAAAGGAATGACGGGTCACCGACTCACAGGGCAGTATCGATTGCCTTATCGCAACTGGTCACCCTGATAAGGCTGTAACCAAAACGAAATATAATGATCATAACGGTATCAGCCCTGTCGTAAAACTCAAAACATGCGAGAATGTGCGGTAACATACATTGCCAAGATAGGAAAAAGATATCAGATTCGATTGGAGGAGGACTTAAGTTCTCATATCTCCGTTAAATATTGGAGCATGGTTATTGTGAATATTGTTGTTTCTCTATTAATAGTACAGATAAGCATATGAATACTTTCAGGGGAAGTGAACAAGTTGAAGCCAGGATAAATATGAGTTGGTTGTGTGCATCCTACTCCGTATCAATTCCCCTCTTCTGTCATCCTCATCTGCTCCCATGTCGCTGTTCCCGTCGCTGATGCTTCAACAGTTCACGCTATGACCCTGAACGGAATGGTAAAAACGCTGTCATCGTAGTGGTGTCATCACCCGCTCCCCACTAAACCGGTCGAGGTAAACTAGTTAGTCCATAGCGGAATATTGTTACTTGATCCTAGTGCTCTGACATCCAAGGCACTGGATGGGAGAACGAAGGCTCCACAATAAGAGGTTCATTATCCGCATCGAAAATGCCTGTTTCATATGGTTGGCTGCATCTCTTTGGCACTTTCTGTTGGAACAATGAGTTATAAGGATGATTGGAAGATGGTTCCAAGGTGGAAATCTTTGTTGCAACCAGGACATGGATGAGAGGTGGCTCCATTCCACACGAGGAATTCGATCGTTAAACTACCTTTCTGCTCAAGTTTCATTATCTATGGTTCTTTCTTTCTCACCCGAAGACAATCATGTATCGAGTCCGTCATCATTGTCATTTTCAATGCTGTCGATAAAACACCTACGTAGGTATTGTGTCGCTATCTGTAAGCCATATTGTGCCAGCTGTCAGATCATCCCATTATTCATATGGCACCTGTGAACCTATGTTATTCTTCAAAACTGCGGAGTCCACCTCCCCTCCCCTTTTTGCCAGTAATTTAAACGGAGCTTTTGTCATGGCTTTAATCCCTACAAGGCTTGCCAGAATTTGATTTCTCACCATCGTCCTTCCGAGATATCTGGTGGGTAACAGTACCATCGTTTTGAAATCTGCCAGATTGAAAATAATACTAGTACGCAACAGGAAACCCCGTTTTCAGGTAATAAAAATCTCACCTCGACGTCAGCAATGCATACGGAGTAAATAGTCGACAGCCCTGGCATAGCGCTTGCTTCTTGCTTTCATTATCGCCGCCTCTGTAATCCGATATACCCAATAAGGATCCTTGAGGAGCGAGAGTATCCTGTAGAGCGACTTGGCAAACAAACCAATGCTATCCTGGAGTACCGTGAAAAGGAGCAGCGGCAGCAGCGAGAGGGCCAACGAAGTGAAATAGGAAGGATTTTTCAGCACACCAGCCGCCCTCATTGAGAAAATCGGAGAATGGTTATCGAGGGAAGATAAATGGTTGAGTTTGCGTGTGGAGTGCAAAGGGAAACATGAAGAAATGCCAACTTCTGGACAAGCCCAGACGTTACGAATATTACGGCGATTCGTCGGAAAGCGAAAATACGACATGTACTCCGTATCCATCGGGGTATCACTGTATCGGGGCGTAAAAAATACCGGGCTGTACAGGATTCAGCCCTACCATGATACAAACCTTGCTGGTTGGATGTTCGACGAAACGCCGTGGGACGATTTACCAGCCGTATCTTGGTATCGTACCTGGACGTAACTGTCGGTACTCCATGGGTGAGCCGGGTACTTACTGTACCAGTAGTTACGCTCCCGGTACCAGCGCAGTGGAGGCCAGCCCAGTTCCTCCACAACCACATTACCGCTTATACCACCGCCGACACCAACTGGTATCCTACTACCACCACCAACCACGACATCGAAGCATCCGCCCACATCACACTTTCACTCCCCTCCAACGCCCCAAATCTCCTGCCTCCAGCAGTTGTTTTTCAAGCCTCTGCTGCCTCATGTCCGCTTCATTTCCACCCCTTTTCTTGCCCTTCGCCTCTTCCACTTCCATGGTCATCCGTTTTCTAAGCCCTATGCATCTCGCTTCGTCCTTGGCTGCCACCACAATTTAGCCAGCGCCTGCTGCTCCAGCTGAGCCCAATCAAGGTTGGACCCGCCTGCCATCGCCACCGTCGCCACGGTTTCTCCCACCTGGACTGGCTGAACCGAGCATCTGCTCGTTCGTTCCCACTGTCTGAGACCCTCTCATGTCCATGCTGAGCTCGTCGTGGCAGTTCCTGTGATGATTATGGATAGTAATCGACCCATGAGCTCGACGCCTTCAATTCTCGTTTGTGACTTCAACCATTCAACCTACGATTGTCGTCGACTGTCTGCTTCCTCCAGGTCTGCAGCGCGCAATCTTCCTTTCCGGTCCCTTTCTACATCGCCTGGTCCAATGGCCATCCCCAATGCGATGGAGCCTGTGGTACCGCCACCACTACCGCCACCTCGGTACATAGAAGATCTTGCAATTGGGCACGATTCTGGTTGGAAATGGGGTAATAGTGTCGAGGAAGGAGAGTTCGGGAAACCTACTCTACCTCCCATAAAACCGTCGTCAAGCCTTGTAGGTGGTGGTCACACTCGCCCAGAGCTGGTCCGTCGAACTGAGAGAGTTACCTTGGATAAAGAGATCAAGAGGAGCAACATGATGTCAACTGCCAAAATCTCTCCAGTGTTGAAGAACAGAACGTCCTTTTCGACATTGGGGGATTCAACTTTCCCCAGTTCATCAAATCCTAGCCTACCCAGTCCGTGGTTAGTATATTCCACTGCCTGTTAGAATACATTTGCAAAACAACATGGCTCATGCTTTTATTCATATTTTCCGCCCCCTTTTTCCATTTTGTGTTACATTCTATCGTCTCATGATCCTATGCGCCCAATGGTCATGCACAACTTTGATGAAGCGAGCGGAATTCAGTACTCCATGCTAATCTGGCCCTACAATTGCGTTATCATAGTTTGCAAGGGGAAAAACCGCTGTCCGAGAAAAGCGTAGAACGGTCCTCCAATGCTTACGATCAACACCTGTTATCTAAAATAGGAAAACCGAGCTCTCCCCCTCGCCTGCCTTCCAGTCTCGGAGGCCTCGGTCAGAGAGAGTTCACGACACTCCCGTTCCACTCAAAAAACCGAAAAGGTCTTTCAAGCTTGTCAATTGGTGATGGATCTTTGAGTCCTTGTGATCCAGCATCGCGCTGGACAAGCGGACCTCAATCTGCTGGAATATCGCCTGGGACACGGCCAGGGTGGGCGGATTATGTGAGCTATCGTAGCCCAGGTGTTGATAGCCCACCTCATCAGCCGGATTTCGACCACTTTCGAGATAGGAATATCTCGCCTGGAACGCACCATACGAATGATGATTCAACCAGCATGTATAGTCGATCAAACAGGGGTAGTTATGATCAGAACGTTTTTCCTGATTCAGATATCGATTTTCCAATGGATGAGACAACACAACATAGGCAGCTAAGCGTTGATGATCGAGGGTCATCTCAGCTGGGAAGCATGTCTCCGTTGTCTAGGCAGGGTATGAAACGAAGAGCCTCATCTCCACCACGAGGAGCCGTTTCAGACGAATTGCACGCTCTTCACACAACCACCAGCAATGGCGATCTGGAACAACGGAGGACATCTGGGTTTCCTTTCAGTGGTTGTATATCACCTGGTGCCCGGTACCAGCCGAGTCATGGCTCTATTTCTTCAGTGTCCTCAACAAGCCTGCGAACTGGTTCCTATGCCTCGTCCACAGGACTCTCTGTTGCGGCTAGCAGCTTGACTAGCTTGTCTTCCTTCGATCGCCATTCGCCGGGAGGAATCTCTCCAACGTCAGAACTTGAATCCTCTTATGAAAAAGCCTTTGTGAGCCTGGGTGTACGTAAATCGCTCTCAGGTCTTACATCTTCACGAACCCCTCATCACCGCGATCAAGTCGAAGTGAAAAGTGCTCCGCCCATCCGCAACATGTCACTCCCGAATAACCTGAGTGTATCCAAAACCGCTCCACCTCGGATAAATCGTCTTCACATCTGCGAATGCTGTCCAAAGAAACCGAAGAAGTTCGAGACCTCGGAGGAATTACTGTAGGTTATCTCCCCTTAAATTCCGGTGCTTCATTTTATGTTGAGCTGAGCTAATACTGATCTTGCTCTAGGGCTCATGAAATGGAGAAACAATATACTTGCCAGTTTTGCAACAAGCGCTTCAAAAACAAAAATGAGGCTGAGCGACATCAGAATTCCCTTCACCTGCGACGACATTCATGGTCCTGCGCCGCATTGTCCGGTGTAGAAGCCGCTTTCCACCCATCTGCTTCTCCAACTTGCCAATCCCCTACCGGGCCTTCCCATGACACATGTGGGTATTGTGGGGATGAATTCGCCAACTTCCCACAACCAGACTGGGATAGGCGAATCGATCATTTGATTAGTGTGCACAAATTTGGAGAATGCAACCAGGCCAAGAAATTCTATCGAGCAGATCATTTTAGACAGCATCTGAAGCACAGTCATGCGGGTGCGAGCGGAAAATGGACAAACATCTTGGAAAATGCATGTATGAAGGAGGAATCGTCAACAGAGGGTGGGCTTTGCCAGCATTGGAGAGCACGGTGGTCGGAACCCTGAAAATCAGATGGGGGAGACTGGGAAATATGGATATCGAAAGTGGACCAACCCCCTGGGGACACGCATGTCGCATACCAATGGGGTCATAATGAAGAGCCATAATTGTCCTAAGGATTATTATCTGGCTATCTCTGTGACATTTCCGAATACAAGGGAGTTATCTGTGTTGCTTGTTTGACGTTTAAGTTTCATCTCGGGTGTTTCCTTCCTCACCCAATGACGAAAACTCTGTTCTATCTCATCCAGCAAGTTGACTGTTTTCCATCGATTTCTCATTTCATCTTTCTAGAATTTTCCTCCTGAATGATGCAGCGAGTCGGTTTTCTTCCTATTTGGCTGCTTTCCTCGCGCCTATTCTTTATTTTCCATTCCCTTCCTCTTTTCTCTCTTGCTTTACAGGTTAGTTTTCTGGTTTGAGTGGGCTTTGATTTCATTTTATTTACACACGGTTGGTTCTGGGTGTCGTGCATATCTATGTTATAATTCCTTTCTCACTGTTATTTATTTCTTTGGCAGACTGTGATTCGACATTACCTTACCACCTATCTATTTTTTCAAAGATCATCCTAATTCATCCGTCTGTGCTAAGATTTTCTCTTGTTGCGCTTTCCACTGGTGTTTTCTTTTTTGTCACAAAACTACTTTACTGCTACACCTGTGCATTCATTTTATGGTATGTATACACTTTGATATTCACTTTGCAATATACGTCCTGTCGCCATCTATCTTCACCCATGTATATGTATATATATACACCTATGATAATTTAACATTATTAGAACATACAGTCTACACTCTCGTGCCAGCCCTTTTTTCCCCTCACCATATACAGGACCCCCGCCCCCGAGAAACTGAAAAGTTTCAATCATTTTTTCCCTCTATTTCATATATTTTGACCGTCAATATTCTCTTTCATTTCTTATTTGCATTCTTCATCCATTATTATTCCCATGTCTAAAACCCTCGACTCCGTTTGCATATTTTGTATATATTATCCCGTTCGATGCGTATATACCGTAATTAAAATGACAAAATGTCTTTTTTCACGGATTATTCTTATCTCAAATAGGGTTTTCTCTCTCTTCTCTCTCTCTTTAGCTTTGATACGTATACTCCGGATTTTTGAAGTAAAAACGATGGGAAAGCAACAAGAAAGTAACTTCGTTAAAATCTTCCCATACAAGTAGGTTACGTTCGTTGCGAAATATCTATGTTAACATTAAAGTGGGGATTTAATCCAGACTTCTATTATTACGCTTTCTAGATGTGGACTTGCTTCGTCCCCAACTGGCAATGCCCACCCCCTACCCCTATTTTTTTCATATTTTAGTTTTTAATTTTCCCTTTAGTATCACCACATCTAAACCTATGCCAAATCACTTCTCGCTCTGCTGTACTCCGTACTCGATTCATCAAGTCTCGCTTTATAAAGTATTATCAGACCATTTATTCGGCCCCATAACATAAACTCATCGCATACTAGTATTTACATTAATATTAACTTATTCTAGTAAGAAGAATAAATATAATGCAAACATCTTTAACAGTCTCCTAAATGGCAGGCTTGGCAAGAAAAGAAAACATGCACAGAGCCCATTTTCTCTATGGAACTGGAGAAGACAATAGGACTGGGGTGAGGATAATAATAATAACTTTGAAAAAGATCGCAATGGTACAAAAGTATCTGGCCAAGATATATATAATACATACCTCATCCCTGCCAATGTGTGTGTAGTTAAAACTAGTTAGTTATATAAAAAGGATTACATACACATACATAACAATTACCCGACATGAAAAAAAAAGATTTGTGCCGTTTTAAATGCTTATAACAATAACATTTCCGAATCCCCAGTTCCGCATTCATCGCCGCCGCCGCCGCCGCCGCCGCCACCAAGACTACGACCGTAACTTTCATTAGGGCTGGAATATTTAGGCAATAGTTCATCAACGAAATTGCTAGTCTGGACAGTAGCAATGGTAGCATGGGGGCCATGGTGTGTGGAGGAGAGCGAGAGCAAAAACTCCTCTGGCATCGTGACTGGCGAGGATGGGTCGAGAATTTCCATTTCGCTGCTGGGTGGGGAGGGAGGGATTGAGAGTAACGCTTTGGATGTGGCTGTGGCTGTGGTTGTGGTGGTGTTTCTGATCACAGGGGTGAGGGACATTGAAGATGGTCGGGATTTTCTGATTTGTAGAACGGGAAAATCAGGGATGTCGGTGATTAAAGTTTCTTGTTCGCGGTCATCTAACATGTCTAGATCATCGTGGATGCTGGCAGATATCGGGGGTGGAGATGGGGATGGCTTGCCAGTTGTGTTGGGGTTGTCGGGTAGGTCACGTTCGCCATCATAGTTAGGATTGGTGACGCCCATGCAATATGGGTGTTGGATTTGGAAGAGGTTGGTGAAACAGGTATTGCCGTCGCCATTTTCGGAGTCTAATTCGTCTGTGAGGAGGATATCGCTATCCTCCGCGAAACACCATTCTGTATCTGATATACGGTCTGCATGCGGACTCTGATCATTAATTAGGCCCGAAATAATTGTAGTCGTATGGGCTAATGATATTGCGGGTATGTGG